CAATTATTTTCTCGTTTTTACACGTGCTTGTCTCAGATAATTTTTCTCTTGTTACCATTCAATTCTGTTAAATTATTTAATTTACATTTCAACATATATTTCTTTTGAGGTTATGTTTCTAGTAACTTCACAGCCTGCCCGTCAAGCATTAAGAAAAGTATATATATATGTACGTGAGACATCATTCCCTGTGATTTGACGTTAAATAGAGGTCACGGTTTTGGGAATACATGTGTAGATATTCGATGGATAAGATTGCGCCGGCGAGGCGGGATTTTTTGAAATTCCGCGCGTGGCGGCGGCGGCGTCACCTTGGAAATCTTGATTAAAGGCGATCAAAAGGCCGATCACGTTCCAGAATCACGTCTCTCTTTCGGTTGTCCCCCGAAGTCTACGAGCTACCCGCCGTGAATTCGTCTACGAAAATAGCTTCTATTTATTTTTCCCGCCGGATCGTCGGATATGAATTGAACGTTTTCTTGAACGCGCGGCGCGAATGTCCAGCCCGTTGGATATTTTCAGGCCACCACCGTTCGGAAATACGTTCTCCGCCTGTGAAAGAGACCGTTTCGAATAATCGAAACGGCGGTCTCTCGGTATTTATGGAGTCGACCGAGTCGGAAATAAAACTGCGGAAAACTTGAATCGTCGATCATCATTGCAAGATCTTGCCAGTTTTTTTCCAATTGTTCTTTCTTATTGTTAGATTGCAAGAAAGCCAAATTATTTCTGACACGAGGCGATTGCAATTTATGCAATTCGAAGAAATTAAATTCAAATATCGACCTATTTATAAGCCTGAATATAACCTAACCTAAACCATCGTGAACCACAACTTAACTCGCTCTTTCAATTTCATCTTTGATGAAACAATTATTCCATATATTTACGATACAGCAATTGTTTAATTAAATGTTTTCCGTGTTGTATGATAAATGAACATCTGACCACCTTCTCTCTCTTTCTCTCTCCTGAATTTTCTCACGAAACTTTACAAAGCCGTAAGCAATTTTCAGACTCGCGTTACATAATTCCGAAATATATCAAGAGGGGATGCGTGATACAAGGTAAAATTAAACACTATGTAAACAAATGATTAAATCTAGATCGAGCCGAGATTCCGCGAGATTCCGATAAATCATAAAGCAAAAAGCATCGCGCCTATCCGTTAAGAGGATTCGAAACTGGCGCGAATCGTGCGTAAATCTTGCTCGAACTTCCTCGAATGCTGTTCCTCGTCGATCGTTTTCGAAAAACAACGCGACATCTCACGCGCCAATTAGACATATTTACAACGCTGTTTACTAGCAAGCTCGCGTGGAATTCTCGAATGCGAGTCTTGCCAGCCGTGTTCGGTGATCGTTTCATTCTAACTGATGTAATGAACGCGTTGGGGATGGAACGAAGAGAAAGAGAGAAAGAGAGGGAGTAAATGGAAATCCCTCGTTCTGCCAGAGTGATAAATTCGTACGACGGAGAATATCTGACGCGAGTTGCCGCATAATATTTCGTGCGAATTTCTGCGGAAGCATATCGTCGGCTAGGAGGAGCTTCGCAACATGTTGCACGCTCTGGGACAGATATTCGCAATCGAGACAGATATTCCAGCAACAGGTTGCTCGTGTTTGCTCTTTTCTCGCGCCGAGAGATCCCTCCATCCACAACAACCCTCTCTCCATCATCCTCCCCCTGTTAAACACAGATCGTTCCTTTTCCCTTTCTTTTTTTCTTCTTATGAAGCAACTACTTACTTTCTCCACTTCGAGCTCTCTCTATTTTTTTCTTTCTTTTAAATCCTTTCTTTCAACCCTTTTTAGCCTCGTTCCGTCTTGAATAGGAATAATCCT